CGTTTGACTCTCAGCCTCACAGACGATAGTGTGATTCCTTTGAAGACACACTCGCGTCTGTCCAGTGGGAGGGTTCTACCACTAATGCACTGTGCGCGGCAATACTGATCACCGAAAATGGGGAACGATAGGGCTTGAATTTAGGCCCGCAGCGTACCAAGCTCCAGATCGGCTTTCTGCGGTCTCAACGCGCCCGGCCTCAATGGACGATGTGTTCATGCTCGTTGTCAAATCGCTCAAAGAACTTTTGATTTTGCAGGAAACATTCTCAAATCCCCAAGATATCTTAAGAGATTGAGAGATTTAAGTCTTTAGAATTGACGCTAGTGAATTCCTCAAACTGCTACAAGCAACCATTACTGCTCCTGAGCCACTCATATTGCCTACCAGCTTATTGAAGGCGAACTGGTGAGAATGAGGGTAACGCACCATAAGATGGTAATGGAACTGAAACTAATGAAACCTTCAAACTCTCGAAAGCAACTATTACTGCTCCTGAGCCACTCACATTGCCTATCTCATTATTGAAGGCGAACTGGTGAAGGAGCAAAACGTTCCGTCGTGTGCGACTAAAACAATTAAGAGCAAGGCCACCTGTAGCCCCTGTAGGTTCTATCCCTGATTTGCTCAGTCATCGTAGGCATCATGGAAATTTTTAAAATCGAAACACATATCGGGGGTAAAAATGAGTGAAATTGCGGTTTGCATTTCGCATATCACCGAGATTTTTCCTCAAATTACACAACTAGGCGTATTTGCCCGGTTTTTAAACCAATTTTGGGCATTATATACGAAAAATGTGTTCAACCTTGGCCTCTACAATGGTAAGCTAAGGTTGGTAACGAAAGTAAAGGCAATAACCGTCAAAGATTACACAAAGAACAATCTTCGCCAAACTAGAGTCGCCCCCATCTCTATTTTAGTAAGTTCCGACAAAAAACCTATTGCTGAAAATTACGCGGCTACGCCATTTCTCAAATGAACCGCTCATATATCGATAGATAAAATGCGAGACCACGTAGGTCCCTTTGCGACGTTGCAGATTTCCAGCCATATTTCATTTCTCCTCGGTAAACTAGCCAACATGATATCTTGATAACTCCCCTGATTTTTTCCCCCATCCGCAGGAGATTTCGTGTAAATTTCAAGCTGTATAAAACGGACTCGTTTCTCTTCGAAAAAATAAGGAAGGAGCGAAGATTTTGAAACATCGGAACGGTGTCGCGTTTTAGCCATCGATATATCCTGCCGTGGTAAGAAAAAACGCCGTATGAACACTTGAGAGGTGCCAAATTTCCTTCGATAAAATGTTTATTTTTGAGGAAAGCTATGAAATATGTTCCTTGAAATTTCTAGGAACTGAAATTACGAACATTATCTAACCTAATTAGAAGAAAAATATTTACAAATTGTCCCGAAAATTCATGATTTACCGGGGAAAATTTGGCGACGCCTGAAGGTTCATACGGCGTTTTTCCTTGACACGGCAGTATTGTCTGTAGATATACCAGTGGAAGCCCTACATCCGCACAACAGAGCAACCCTGGAGGATGAGTTGGGCGGATGCTGGGCATCATGCGCGGAGCCGAAATTACATTAGGACCCGAACGCTTCGGCCAGGACGATTTATCTGGCGGCGTTATTTGGACCCGGAGCCGCGGTGCCACCGAACGTCCGTCCGCACGCCACCGGCCAACGTCCACCATCCAACACTCCCGTGCGCCCGTCCCAGGCAAAAACCGCGTAGTTCCAATTTAAAACCCCGTAGAGTTAAGTGATTTTTGCTAGGCACGGCAGAACAGGGCCGAGCCGGCCGGAAAATCCCCTGCCGCATTCGGAGCCACCGCTGCCCCCTTCTCCCACTCAGTAAGGGCATTTCACTGCGAGCTTACGCCGTATTGCCGAATCGGCATGAAAGCTCGTAATGTGAGCTAGAGTACCTTCATAGACAGAGTATGACCATTCGTATCTTTTTACTACAGGAAAACTGTGCCGCTTTTTGATTGGTCGACGAGTTTTCAGGCTTCATGATGCTTTTACGGCCGTAAATAAATAAACAAGATGGCAACTCACCGTAACGTTGATAAGAAGCTAAAATTTGAAAAAAAAATTCAATTATACAGCAGTAACAATTTAAACTAGCATATGTACGAATAACACATGAAAAACACATGAAAACACGATAAAATTGCCTTTCGCTTTTATCACAGGTGGATGTGAGATGTGCATAACCTCAAACTTGCTTGCTGATAGCAGCCGTCTTGTTTGTTTATTTACGGTCGTAAGAACATCGTGTCAGCCTATTTTCACGCGACCAATGAGAAACCGGCACAGTAATGGCCATACTCTGTCTATAAAGGTACTGTAATCGATGCTTGCTGAAAGGGTGTATGCCCAAAAACTCATAAGCTTGCGTAGTCATCGAAAGCCAGAGCTCATAAGTTTTTGGACTTACGACCCTTCAGCAAGCGTTGATTCAAATACAGTTTGAACCTTTTGTACCCAGTAAAGTGAAGTCTCCCCAGTTTTTTTTTTTTTTTTTTTTTTTTTTTTTTTTTTTTTTTTTTTTTTTTTTTTTTTTTCTTTCTAATTTCACGATCTCATGTCCTACAAAGATAAAATGGAGATCTTATCTACCGAATGATTGTGTCTGCCTTATGATCCTATGTACCTGATCCCACGAGGGAAAAAAAATATTCGCTAAAATGGCAAAAAAATGGTTTGCGATTTCTACAATTCGCTTTTTTTTCTAAAATTCGCCCACCCTCGTGGCGAGAATGACTAAACAATTTGCAAAAATAGTAATTTTATTGTGCGAAAATAGCAAACTATAATTTTGCGAAAATAACATTCCTAGTATATGATGTTATTGCTAAACCTTTTGCTAGATTTGCCAAATGTTTGCCTCGTAATTAGCGTATGGTTTTGCTCTGTTTACTACTTATTTTGCGGAACTTACTAAAATCAATCGTTACCTCAACAATCTCAATATTGCGATTTTTACTACCTCATAAATTGCTGCCCTTACAAGACATATTGCGAATGCAGCGTAATTTTTGCGATTATAACAGTTAAAAAAGCTATTTGTACAATTTAAATTTGCTGAATTAGCGCCAAATTTTTTTTTTTTTTTTTTATAAATGGTTTGGGAATTTCACCGTCGCCATGCTGCCGCACAGTGCAGTGGATCGAGTCAATCAGAGAGGTCGTTCATGAAATTTTGGACCAAAACTGTGAATTTTGGTGTTTAATCGTCACATTTTAAATTGAAAGGGATGCTTGTAGAAGAAAATTTCACCAGAAAACCTATGGAACCGCTTCTGGAACCTCACATTTTTGTATAAACGGAGTTATAAGCGTTTAAAGTTTCCAAATTCTGTCCGACCTCTTCTATTGACTCGATCCCCTGGTAAAAATTGGCAGTAGAGCGGAAAACGCGCATTGGCGCCTTCAAACCTAACAGGGATACTTCATGCATTGCGCAATGCGTGAAGTATCCCTGTTAGGTTTGTAGGCGCCCGTGCGTCACCGCTCCGCTTTGTGTTAGGCTCTAATATTTAGTCTCGCGGAGTCAGCGTTTTTCAACTCATGATTTTGAAATGTTTGCACACTCTGTATGGATGATTCTCATTTTAATTGATGGATAAAAAATGTTTTAAAGGAAAAGATAATGTGTGTTTTGTAAATATTAAGGTAGTTCCGTAACAAACTTAATGATTTCTAAAGCAAACGAATTTCTACACAATTTCTTATAGCCTTTTATAGCCAATGGCGATAAAGTGTATAAAGCCCGGCGATAGGAACTATAGCCCAACTGTATACTTTTTTATAGCTTCGTATAGCCCGGCTATATGATTTGCTCCGCTTTCTACAGCCAGGTATATGATTTTCAATAGCCTTCTTTAGTCGGCTTTAAGAACTCCTATGGCATTTTGAAACGCAGCTCCTATCGCCAATTTTTACCAGGGTCCACTGTGTGCCGGTAGAGTTGGCAACGCTGCCCGGAAAAAGTTTCGCCCTGTTAACACGCGGCCCTGCCCGCCCGCCGAAATCAGCGCGCCGATAATCCTCCGGGAATGAATTCATTTTTAGCTGATATTATTTGCACTTAATCCATTCAACCCATCTTCGGCCATTGTTTCGCCAACTTTTGACGGGACCCCGCCGAATGAATCGGTTGAAAGCCATCCCGACAATGCGAGGGAGTGCGGCCCGCCCCAGAGCCCTGGTCCCTGTGTTTCTCTCCTCCATGCCTTTATTATTCGGGTAGGTAGGCCGCTTTCCCATGGGGCGAGATATTCAGGTCGGGAAATTTCATCGCGCGAACCGTTGTACGAATTCGTCGGTAATTTTTTCCGCTGTAATAACTTGGGTTTTTTTCTGGAACACAATGCCTTGGCCTTACTATTTCTACAAAATAATATTTGATATTGATATTTGTACAAACATGTTTAACATCACACAAGAATGTTTAACTTGGGTACAGCGTGCAAGCCGGGCAGTTGGAGTTGACCCATTCGTCAAGAGCTTTTATCTTTGGAATGGTGACGATTAGAGTTTACAGAGTTAGAATGTTATGCTGTGCATGATGTTGATACCGTTGCTGCCTGACAAATCTGGGACAAACACCGAAAAAAAAGATGCTGAATTAATACTCTGGATGTAAAAAAGTGTGCGACAACTCACAAAACGCTGAGAAACCGCCACAGCAGTTAGCTTGACATCTTGACATTGTTATAGTAACTACAGTGGCGGTTAACTCAGCGTTTTGTGAGTTGTCGCACACTTTTTTACACCCAGAATTATAAGTCAGCAATTCAGCATCCTTTTTTACGGTGAAATAATGCAGATGTACAATTTTGTTTTCTTCTTCTTTTTTTATTTTTTATTTTTTCTTTTTTTTCTTTTTTTTCTTTTTTCTTTTTTTGGTCTTGGATCTCTGTATAAAAGTTCTATAAAAACATTTTATCTAATCCATCGAACTTTTTCTTTTGTTACAGTCGAGCCGTTTTGGGGAACCCGGACCTGCTCCCGACGACACCCATCCGAAACCTGTTCAAGAACGATTACTGGGGCACGAGCCTGGATTCGAACAGCTCCCACGGCTCCTACCGCCCCCTGTGCGTGCTCAGCTACCGGCTCAACTACCAACTCTTCGGCTTCCAACCCTGGGCCTTCCACGGCACCAACATCCTCCTCCACGCCCTCGCCACCTACCTCGTCTACCGAACCGTCAAGACCCTCTTCCTCCAGAAAAACATATCAATCTCCACGAGCCTCCTCTTCGCCGTCCACCCGATCCACACCGAGAACGTAGCCGGGATCGTCGGTCGCGCGGACATCCTATCGTGCATCTTCTTCCTCCTCTCGTTCCTGTTCTACCTCAAACACGTTAGAGTGCGCTACCGCTGCATAAAGAGCTTCGCGGAGCCGCCGCGAGAGAGCGCGCGGAAGCGGTGGGCAGAGGGCGCGAGTTGCGCGACGAGGAACGAGTGCCTAAAGTGGTTCTGGCTCTGCAGCTCCCTCCTAATGGCGGTCTGCTCCACCCTCTGCAAGGAAACGGGCATTACGGTGCTGCTGGCCTGCGTCGGCTACGAGTTCATCCATTACTATCAATTTAGGAAATTGCTGCCCTCCATAAAGGTAAGACACGCCGCCTTTAAACGGGCGGCATCGCTATTCACGCCCGGATTTTTTTCTGAAAGCCCTGCCGTTTCATAAAATATAGATGGGCGCGAATCAAAGCCCGCGTTGAAAGGGAGGGCTTCGCGGTGCGTTTTAGGTGTTAGCCGGGCTCACACACACACGGCCTCGTTGATGTTCTTATCACGTAAGCCCGGCGTCGAGATCAAACACCGGCTCGCGAGTTCACAAGGTTATCTTGGCCGGATCCTTTCCGCCTTTGCCCGGGTCCTTTCGCCGGGCCACCGCGTCCTTCGATCATTCTTTATTCAGCGCTCGCCCCCGAGTTCTGCTCCTTTATCTCGGACCGTGTTATTTAATTTGAAACGTCGCGCTGTCGATGGGAATTAATTTAAAAGTTTCCCCCGAAAGCTCGCGGGGGAGGGTCGTGCCCGTGACGACAGGGGTGATCCCTTCGTCGTTCCAACTGTTGCGTGGCCGGGAAGGGGCTGGAAGTATCCGCGGCTCAAGTTTGAAATCGCCTTCGATCATGACATTGCGAATTGCTGTTCTTTTTTTATTTTTTGTTCTGACTCCCTGCACATTTTCCTCTTCTATCCGAAAAAGAGGTTTCAAAGTTTCCCGGTAAAGTCACATGCGTAAAATAGGAATGGGAAAATTCCCTGGAAACATCCCGACGAACGTTTTTGGTGGTCCTTCTAAGTGTGAATGAGCTCTGTACGTAACATCGTCACCTTTCGGCCAAATGTCTTAAACGCCATGCGACGTTTCAAAATTTTCGCCCCCATTTTATTTGTTTTAACAGAGTGATTGTTCAAGGAATTTGTCCGAAAATTTCAGTAAATTTGCTTTGCGCTACCGATAATTTTCGAACAGCTAGATTCAACCAGCAATCTCTCTGTAAAATAATAAAATGGCGGCGGAAATTTTGAAACGTCGCATGGCGCTTGTGATCTTTGGCCGGAATGTGACGATATGTGCATTTACATATACTGTTCACAATAGTCTCTTAATTTTTATTTTTTTTTTTAAAAAATAAATAAATAAATAAATAAAACAAATAATAAACCTATTTTCCTTGATACAGTGGCTCGATTTTGACCTCACACCTCAACGGCGAACCCTTCCCCGTTCGACAAGCGAAGACCGCGCGAAATTTTTCAGAGCCGCCTCGGCCGTCATCGCCACGACCCGAGTGAAACCCCACTCGGATAGAAACAAAAGAAATTCCACTCCATTCCATTTTTCCAGCAGCTTCCCCGGCGGAAATGCGTGGGGGATGAAAAGTGGTGAAAATAAATTATGCCACCGGAGTGGGGGCCGGGCCCGCTAACCTCCCGGAGAAGTGCGTTAATAAAGATGGGAGCTCTCAATCACAATCACCGAGCTAGCAAACAAACCGTGAACTTGAAGTCGCGGGAAACGTATTGCCGGATCCCTGAAAAATGTGCCCGCGCTGCGTCCGCCGCCCATCGGGCGATTTCAGGGAGTCTGGCAACTCCGAGCCTAATTTAGAAGCTGTTCAGGGTAATTGGGCTCCAAGTTGCGAAATGTTGGGTGTAATTCGGGCATTTGTTTAGGGAGGATTGGTTCTTTCGTAAGTTCGTGCGGGGGCCATTTTCAGGGCAATGGGTGATGACCGGTTTTTTAATGGATGTTTAGAGTAATCTGATTCTTAAAAGCAAATAATCCATCAAGGATGCGAATTAAAATAGCTTGCAGTCACACGATGTGATGACCGCTTTTTTAATGGATGTTCAGAGTAATCTGATTCTTAAAAGCAAATAATCCATCAAGGATGCGAATTAAAATAGCTTGCAGTCACACGATACAAGTAACCGTATAACCCATGCGATACTCTACACGGAGAAAAAAAACCTCGTGCGTGGGACCCGAAATTTAGGTCATATGGATCTCTGAAGTTTTCGGATTGAGTATCTGAACACTTTAGGTCTATAGCTGTCGAGGTTTGGATCACACATCTGAAACTTCAGCCCTTACATCTGAAGTACTTCAGTTGTGAGAACCGAAGATTTTTGGATGTGAAAACCGAAGTACTTCAGATGTAAGAACTGAAGTTTCAGATGTGTGATCCAAACCTCAGCAGCTAGACTTAAAGTGTGCAGATGCTCAATCCGGAAACCTCAGAGATCCATATGATCTAAACTTCTGGTCCCACGCACGAGGTTTTTTTCTCCGAATATAGTTATTCACTCATTTTGCCCCTTAGACTGTAAAAAGCGCATCTGTTTTAACCAAAATGATACCTCTATTCCCCTCTGCCTTTTTTGTCCATTGCTTTGTCCATCAATTTAAATAAGAGCCAGCGGCACTGAGTAATCACTTCCGGTTGCAGGAGCTGAACTCATTCGTCTCATACGGACACTAAATTTTTCAGTTCGAGTAATGAAAGTTCTTGGCCATAGAATTTCGCGTATTCAAGTTCAGTTTCTGTGGCCAAAAACTTTGGTTACCTGAACCATAAACTTTGGTTGTTGAAGCAAAAACTTTGGTTACTTGAACCAAAAACTTTGGTCACCTGAACCAAATACTGTGGTGTTCGAACTTCGGCGGCAAATTTTCTTCCTCCGCGTGTAACTACATTAGGAGAAACTTTAAGTCATCAGAAACAGAAAACTGTATTCTCATGTGATATTTTTTTTTTCGTGAATGCAGAACAATCCGGTCACCCACGCTGTATTTGGCAAACAAGGAAACGGTTAAGAACGGTTGAAATATTTATCACCGGCACTCGACGTTTGCGTTTGAGCCCCCGCCACCGATGCGTGCACACTTTGTTTGGTGTTCGTATGTATACATAAATTCGAGCGCATGTATGTTTGTTCGACAAACACAAATAGCTTTTTAACGCCGTCGTGTCACTGGATTGTGATCAATGGCGAGCGGTATACCTGGAGTGCCTCCCTCTTCAAAAAGCATGGCAGTTCCGACCTGCAACAAGGGCACGTCGCACCGAGATTTTTTTCCCAGCCCGTGGTAGCGACTCTTGCAGGTTGGTAGGACCATTCTTCCTCCACGCAAATCTAGCGGAGGTAATCGTTTCGAAATAAGTCAGCCTGTCTCGGTAAATATCGGTTGCTCTGAACGCGTTTGAATTGGCGAGATCCATATAGCAGTGCTCCCATTCCATGACCATCAAAAGTTCCGGAATTCGGAACTTTTTTGTTCCAATTTCTCCCACACCATGACCGTCAAAAGTTCGGGGATTCCTTATAAATTTTTTAAATGTTCCAAGAAAGTTCTGGAAAATGCGAAAGATCCGGAACAATTCGAGAATTCCAAAAGTTCCGGGAAAAATCAAGGGAAATCTCCTAAGTTCCGGAATTCGGAACTAGTTCCGGAAAATGGGAGCACTGATCTATAGGGCCCAAACATATGAGAATCGCCTCTCTTGCTAACATGGATAAAAAAGTGTCAGGGGTTATCCCCTAAAATTGTGGTGCTACCCCAATTTGTTGGATGATATGGACATTTCCAATTAATTTTGGTACTATCGCAACTCAAGTTGGGGTAGTACCGCAACATTTAGGTTAGTAACACAATTTATTGGGATAGTATCACAATTAATTGGTGTAATACGACAATTAATGGGAAATGTCCATCTCATTCAACATAGCCATTCGGACATAGCCCCTACCTCTTTTTTTCCGTGAATCTTACTGCGTAATAAAATTACGAGAATAAGGTATGACATGTAACATAAGGCGCGAATTCCTGCAAAGGGTTTCCTTGTCAATGAAAAACACCGTAATAGTAGGACGTTGCATTAAACTATTATTGAAGTAAAATTTTTTGGAATGTCGAAACCAACCATACATACATACATATGAGTCGCTTTTATAGCGCTCTTTGGCGCTGTGCGACGCCTAATCGCCACAAAGCTCGGTCTTCCCACAGGTCATCAGGGAGTTGACAATCTCTTATCTCATTTAACACCCCCTGTCGCCAACCTCTCACTGGGCGTCCCCTACGTCTCCTCCCAGGAGGAACCCAATCAAGCATCTTCTTTGGCAGCCTCTCTTCCGTCATCCTATTGACATGACCATACCAAACAAGTTGTTTGGTCATGACGTCGAACACGATGTCATTTTCGACTTCCATTATCTGACGCACTCTATCATTACGGACCCGATCTCTCCTAGAAATTCCTGCTGACCTTCTCCAGAAATCCATCTCCGTTGCTCTTAGCATATCCTGTGTCCGTTTCTTCAGCTGCCAAACTTCACATCCGTATGTTAATATACTTTTGACTACAGCGTTGTATATCCTCCTCTTGTTATCTTTGGAAATCCGCTGATCCCAGAGGATTCCATTTAACATCGCTATAGCCTTCCTTGCTAGGGTGTTCCTTTCCCTGATAGCTTGATCCGTCCTTCCATCCTGGGTCAACCGCACTCCCAAGTACTTAAAGTGCTCGCAGCCTTTGATCTGCTGCCCATCCTCCAACTCAATGCTTTGCTGATCACCGCCAAAAGTCATCTTCTCAGATTTGGATATGCTGACTTCCAGACCCCACTTCCGATACTCTTCTACTAGCTTGCGCATCATGTATTCCGCGTCATCTTGATCTTGAGCAACCACCACCTGGTCATCAGCAAAGCACAGAGTAAACAGAGTTTCGAGATCACCCAAGGGGACACCCATACCAGAGCATTTCTTTTTCCATTCTTTTAGCACGCACTCGAGATAAATTTTAAATAATGTTGGCGACAAACAACATCCCTGTTTTAAACCCTTAGTCACATAAAATCCCGCTGACAACCCTTCATGGCACTTAACTTTGGTAAAACTCCCTTTATAAAATCGCTTAACAGCGTCAATCAACCCCCCGTTAAAATTCGATTTTTCCAAGGCCTCCCAAAGTTTCACCAACGGCACGCTGTCATACGCCTTCTGGAGACCAACCATCAGATACTAATTTCAAAATTATTATTCTTTATTGCTCTACGAGATAAAATTCCTACCCAGTAAAAGTTCCC